TCCAACGTGCTGTGTACTATTGTTTCGTAGTGAATTGCTACGTTACAGCCTTTAACTGAAAAGGTCCAGCAAAATCGACACCCGTAATTGTAAAGGGGGGCGAATATGCACACCGCTCCTGAGGTAGGGCTGCCATTAGTTGCGAGCGCGTTTGCTGCTTATGGACGGTGCAGGTTTTGCATTGAAATATGCATTTTTTAAGGAGGGGCTTGAGCCTAGGAATATAAACTTCCTGCCGTATCACTTGTTGCATAAGGCAGAGTTCTGCGTGGAGAAGCAGTTCGTGCAGGAAGCGTATGAAGAGAACAGCGAATTGGGATTTTCGGAGATGCGTTCATTATACGTCAAGGTTGAGTGAGCTAATCGACCGTTGACTCGTAGTAAGCCATTTTTATCTAAAAACGGGTTGAGAGGGAGTAATGAGCTTCGCTTTTCTATAGGTTTGGAATTGGCTAAACATGCCTTTTTACGAGGAAAATACCGAGTCTGCGTTAACGCCATGAGCCTGTGTTTTGCATAGCGGAGGTCGTCGTGCGAGAGGGATGGGGAATGTATATCATGTTCTCCCCGTACTCGATTTTTAAAGTTATTCATGAATTTAAAGGCATATGCCATAACCCTGAGGGCGCGTGAAAAGGAGGAGAAGCGATTTAGTATGTCAGGATCGTCTTCGGTGGCATGGAGTGCTTCTACACGGCGTACTTCAGGCGGGGTGATGTCTCGGGCTGGAGATTTTGGCCAGTCTTCCGGAGGGCTAGCGAGCCAAGCTGGATCATTCCACCATAAGGAGAGGTTAATGGTGCATTTACATGGTATGAATCTGTTCATAAGCCGTATGAATTTTCCTATAAAAGAAGCACCAACTCTATGAAGAAATGAATGAAAGCGATATATATTTAACAATAATAAAAAAATTGTATTTTTTGCTAGCTTCGAAACTAGAAGCTTATTTTTTTGTTAAATGTGCTTTAAAAAGGACCTACTGCCAATAAAGCCTTGTGGATTGCGATTTTTCTATATTTGTAATGCTTCCATTTAAACATATTTGTGGAAAAACAGTTTTTTGTTTAGAATTGCTTGTTTAAGAAACGTTTGGCATAAGTTGAAATCATAGGGATGCCGTTTTCTTCCGTTTCTCAGTGGATTTTATACTTGAAAAGGCACTAAAATATGTATGCAATACTTCTACATATCTTCGTTTAAAGTACAAAACCGCGCATGAAGGAAATGCAAAACCTCGTATGGGAGGTTGCCTAAGTTTTATAAGAGAGAGTGAAACTTGTCCTAATTAAAAACGGTTCTCTCTTTTAAACTCAATAATCTTCTCTTCTTATTTCTAAGTATCGATATTTTATTATAAATGGCTAAGGGCTTGATGTCAGGAGCTTCCGATGACCAAATATCTTTTTTGGCACAACTTTCAGTTCCGAGGTTTTGAAGAACCACGATAGGCGCTTTTGTACTTTAAACGACGATATACATATTGGCGCTTAAACAATATGTTAGTGTTTGGCCTAGCTTCTCCTCCGATATGCGGCGTGCGTTATTTTGTCACACAAAGTAAAGGGCAGTTTTACGCCGACTCCGAACGGCAATTGTATGTTAATGAGAAGTTGTTTCCATGACAGAATACACTCGGAAGTTTACTATTACCAACAGAGGTGCAATCACTATTAGAAAAAACTGGGCTTGAACTCAGGCTCTGCGTAATGCCCTACAGCAGCCGCCACTACTTTTACATATATTGCTGGTATATTCAAAATACTATCCCGAACTGCGGAGTGTATATATGTAATATAAAAAAGAATGAGAGGTACTATAACAAAATGTACCCAAAATTCTGGAGCAAATGAAAACATGCTCATTGAAAACAGTTCACATGTATAAATTAAAAGATATAACTTTAAAGGTTACAGCGCTAAACCAAAGGAAAAGTTAGAAAAAATAGCAATGCGGTGTGAAGGAAATAAAAGACCATAAAATGTTTGTTTGTTTCGTTAATTCTCTGAACCTGTTAAGATATGACACTCCACTGTTTGCAGTAGTTTGCAAATATACACTAATTGTTCTAAAATCGCAAACATTTTCGTGAGATGTTTTTCTTTGATTTCGAATTGAAAATACATTACGATCATATTGTACCAAAATAAGTGCGGTATCCCTGCTGTTCGGAGCAGCAGCGGATAAGCCAGCAACATAAAATATGTTTATCAAAATCAATATGAATAACGTTATCTGATCACACTGAAAATTTCATACTCAATTGAGCTGCATATTTACTTGTATGTATTTAAACTGTGCTAATTTTGTTTCCCCTTTATACTATTTATAAAGCATATGTATATACATACATACATATATGTATGTGCATACGTACCGCCCGCGCTCAGTTGGATACATTCGTATGCAAGCAAGCAAAAAATAGTACATACATATATATGTAAGCAATATTGTGTGCGCGGGTGCATACGTACATAAATATATATATGTAAATTCTCATGCATTTAAGAAAACTGGTTTTATATTGTTGGTGATGAATTTGCAGTTATCCAATATAATTAGGACATACTTAAATAGTTCAAGGTGAACTTTCTGTAAGTTAGTCGCGGACCAAATCTTGTTAAATACAGTTGCTTAACTTATGCATACATCATTTGTTTTATTTTAATAGCTGCTAAACAGGCTTAGTAGCTCAACATTTGGTGACCCCGACGTGATCGTATCACGCGATTTTTCGTTTGTTTCCGGCCGCTTACTGAGATAATTCTGCCACACTAGTGTAAACGTCAGCAACTTCGTCATGCCAGGGGAAGGTGCAGATCGAGTAGCCTTTCTAAAGCTGAAAACAAAGGCCATATTCAGCAGACTGGAGAGCTTGATTAACGAGTTGGACGCAGACAAGCTACACAGTATGGATGAGTACAGTCTTTCAGCAATGCTAGAATCTTTAGGCGAATTGAAATCCAGTTTTTCTGCCGCACACACAAGCCTAGAGGAATTGGACTTCGACTCCATTGCCAGCGACCTGCCAAGTAACTTCGATGCTGCTCTAATCAACCTTAGAGCTACACTGCAACGCGAGATTGGTAAACGTAGTGCCTCGCAACATTGCTCCACGCTCAGAATGAACTCCAGTGAGACCCAATCAATAATTGTGAACGCTAATAGCTCACGCTTGCCATTGCTGACACTGCCTAAATTCAGTGGCGCCTACACCGAGTGGACAAATTTCTATTCAATGTTCACGTCAATAATCGACAAGGACAGCGACCTCACCAACATCGACAAATTGCAGCATCTTCGTTCCTGTCTGAGCGGCGCTGCCCTTGACACCGTGCGCTCGCTGGAAATAAACGACGCTAATTATAACACTGCATTAGATCTTTTACAAAAGCGCTTCGATAACAAACGTCTTATATTTCAGGCACACGTCAGGGAGATATTTGGGCTAGAGAGGGCTACGAGAGCTGACAGAAAAGGTCACAGCACACATACGCGCATTGCAGTCGCTCGCATCCAATGGGAAGATCGCAGATGGCATCATCGTACAATTGGTGATCCAGAAACTCGACAAAAAGACGCAGGCTAAATGGGAGGAGAGTTCATCGATCAGCGAACTGCCATCCTGGGATCAATCAGCTATGTTCTTGGAGAAGCGCTGCAGAGCACTCGAGAACGTTGAGCATTCTATGCAGACACCGACTGGTCAGGCGGTAAAAGCTAACAAGAACGTGAGTACTGGTCAGAGGAAATCCTTTGTTGCTTCCAACGGCTCAAAAGGTGTTTGTGTGTTTTGTGGATCTGCCGAGCATGCAATTTATAGCTGTCAACGCTTCGCAAATTTGTCTCCGAACTTACGCCTGAGGGAAGTTAAGAAGCTTTCCCTTTGTCTTAACTGCCTAAAGACTGGGCATCAAATTCGTGACTGCAAATCCGGATCGTGCCGCGCCTGTCAGTCGAAACACCACACGCTCTTGCATTTCGAACGCTCAACTGCATCGTTAATCAATAGTAAAGCCGAAGCTTCGTCGGCAGCTACAGTTCAATCCAACGCTATGACTGCATCGTTATCTGTGTCGCCTAGTGCCCCAGTATCTCCTTCTGATGCTGTGTTCCTAGCTACTGCCGTCGTTCTGGTAAAAAATCGTGCTGGAAGCTTCGTACCTTGCAGGGCGCTTTTAGATTCTGGCTCCCAGTTACACTTTGTCACAACTCGCCTTGCAAACCAATTGCAGCTTGTAAAAGCAAAATCTTCTGCTACAGTATCTGGCATTGGAGATGCCAATTTCTCAACGGAGGGTTACTCAGTCGACCTCGTACTGAAGTCACGGACTTCAGATTTCTCAACAAACATAACAGCTGTTGTTGTGCAAACCATAACCGACAACCAGCCTGGCTGCTCCGTGAGCACCAACGAGTGGAATGTTCCGTCGAATATACAACTAGCTGATCCTGGGTTCAACTTACCGCAGCGAATTGATCTGCTCATTGGAGCAGCATTGTTCTTCGATCTGCTAAGTGTGGGGCAGATACGCTTGGCATCTGGTTTACCACTCCTTCAGAAAACACGCCTCGGTTGGGTGCTATCGGGAGGGGGGCAACAAGCTCCAAAACTATCATCATTTGTGGTGCGACGGAAGTCCTCCAGTGATATTATTGCCACTCGGTTGGAAGATTTAGTGCGTCAGTTCTGGGAAATCGAGCACAACTTCGAGCCGATCTCTAAGGCCTCCCAAGAAGATATCGACTGCGAAGCCCACTTCCGGGAAAATTATTTGCGATTGTCATCAGGCGAATACTCAGTTCGTCTTCCCATGAAGCGTGGTGTGGAGGCCCTTGGAGACTCCTATTTGCAAGCTCGTCAACGCTTCGAAAGTCTTGAACGAAAATTCGCTCGTAACCCTGAGCTTAAAACAGAATATAGTAAGTTCATAAAGGAATATCTGGACCTTAATCACATGTCGCTAGTTACCAATGAGGTTTTTCAACAATGCAAGTATTTTCTGCCGCATCATTGCGTAATCAAGGATGACAGTAGCACAACAAAGCTGAGAGTGGTTTTTGATGGCTCTGCATCCACTACTTCGGGCTTTTCGCTGAACGACCTACTCATGGCAGGCCCAACTATTCAGCCGAAACTTTTTAATATCCTTATTAGATTTCGTACTTTTCCCATAGCACTTACTGGGGACATCTGTAAGATGTATAGGTGTGTTCGCGTCACCCCACCAGATAGCATGCTCCAATGCATATTGTGGCGTGAATCTCCTCAGGAAAACTTTGCCATCTATAAGTTAGACACGCTGACTTATGGAACTAAGCCTACGTCATTTCTGGCCATACGTGCCATGCACCAACTCCCAGCTGACGAATGCTCGACTTATCCCATTGGTGCAGAAATAGTGCGTCGAGACTTCTACGTAGATGACTTGATATCTGGAGGCGATTCGATGGAAGAAGTACTGAATATCAAGCTACAAACAACTAGCCTCCTTGCTCGAGGAAACTTTAAGTTACGCAAGTGGTGCTCTAATAGTCGAGATATCCTTCGTGATATACCTGACGTAGACAAGGAATGTTTCCTTAAGTTTGACGATGGCAGTGACATCACCAAAGCTCTGGGACTAGTTTGGGATCCGGTCAAGGACAAGCTGCTATTTTCGTTTGTGCCACAACGAGAACTCGGTAAAAACTCAAAACGCTCTGCGTTGTCTACTCTAGCTCGCTGTTACGATCCCCTTGGACTAATGGGCCCTACGCTGACCAAGGCGAAGATTCTTCTGCAACGCATGTGGAGAGACAAGCTTGAGTGGGATGAGAGTCTACCGCAATCGTTAAACACCGCCTGGTCTGCCTTTTGCAGCGGGTTTGCAGACATACAGCACCTATCATTTCCTCGTTACGTCTTGCAACCTGGGGCCATTACAGAAATTCATGCATTTTGCGATGCAAGCCTTGAAGCTTATGGGGCTTGCGTTTATACGCGTTCAGCCAAGGATAGTAAGGTACAAGTGCACCTGTTGTGTTCGAAGGCTCGTGTCGCTCCACTTAAGACTATCACCGTGCCCAAGCTGGAACTCTGTGCAGCAACACTGCTTGCACAACTCATGGGTGAGTTTACAAAAATGAAGCTTTTTAACTGTTCATTTCATTGTTGGTCAGATTCCTCCACTGTCCTCTCGTGGCTGCGAGAAGAATCATCGAAATTTAACGTATTTGTCGCTAACCGAATTTCCACCATACATCAATTAACGGAGGGCATGCGGTGGCACTATGTTCCGACAGCAATGAATCCGGCGGACATTTTATCCAAAGGAGCTACCCCGCAGGAACTTCTAGGATCTTCACTTTGGATGCACGGCCCGTCATTTTTGCGAGAAGTGGAGGGCAGCTGGCCGCGCATGTGTCTACCACAACCAAAACTTCCAGAACTTCGACAAAAGGTGTTGCTTGCCGCACATAACCGCAATGACATTTCGCTTTCTTTCAAGTACATTAATTCATTTGGAACAATGCAGCGCATTTTTGGGTACGTCAGCAAATTTGTCAATATTACAACATCGCCAAGCTCTTCGCAGCTCACAGCCGCAGATATTCACCATGGAACTCAACTGCTTATTCGCTTAGTACAAAGAGCGCAACTTTGGCCGGAGTACACGGCATTACAGGCCAATAATTGCGTCCCGAGTTCGAGCAGCATTGTTTCGCTATCACCATTTCTTGATGACTTTGGAATTATTAGAGTCGGCGGGCGATTAAAAAACTCTATGCTTAGCTTTGAATCGCGCCACCCATGCATTATTCCGAAGGATCATCCACTGACATTTAGTATAATAACCTTTTTTCATCGCAAACAACATCACGCAGGTCCTCAAGCTTTACTCGCCTTCATTCGAATGCAGTTTTGGCCCATAGGTGGTCGGAAAACAGTCACTCGAGTCCTACATAAATGCATTATTTGCTGCAAATCGAGACCGCGCCTTGTCGAGCACATAATGGCCGACCTGCCTAAAGAGCGAATTCAGGCCTCGCGCCCATTCATAGTCACCGGTGTGGACTACTGTGGGCCATTTTATTACAAGCCTGAAGTACGCAATAAATCGCCCCACAAATGTTATGTAAGCGTTTTCATTTGCTTCGCCACAAAGGCTGTATGGATGGAGTTGGTAAGAGACCTCTCAACAGGTGCTTTCATTGACGCGCTAAAACGATTTATCGCTACCCGTGGCATACCCAGATGCATCTGGTCAGCGAAGTCCACAACTTTTGCCTCAGTAATGGCTTTGATTGGCGTTTCATCCCACCTCGCTCTCCGCACTTTGGCGGTTTGTGGGAAGCGGCCGTAAAAACAGCCAAACAACATTTCTATCGTTCCGTTGGCTCATCACTGCTTGGCTTCGATGAATTGCGTACTTTGGTATGTCAAATCTGTGCTGTAATTAACTCTCGTCCTCTCGTACCCCTTTCAGAAAACCCAGAGGATTTAGACGTGCTAACGCCAGGCCAGTTTTTGATTGGTGGTTCTCTGACAGCTCTTCCGCAACCGGATCTAATGACGCTAAACTACGACCGACATGATCGATGGCAGCCTGCAACATACATTAAACAGGTTTTTTGGAAGCGGTGGACTCAAGAGTATCTAACTCTTCTACAGCAACGCGCAAAGTGGCGTTTACCTCATGCCAACATTGAAGTCAATGATGTCGTATGCATAAAGGAAGAAAACTCACCGCCACTGAAGTGGCCTCTAACACGGGTAATCGAAGTTGTCCCTGGAGCAGACGGTGTCGTACGTGTGGCACTTTTAAAAAACATCTAGCGGCATAACGCGACGAGCCGTGAACAAGCTGTGTGTCCTCCCGGTGAAGGATTCTGTTGAAAGCCCTGACCTTTCAACGGGGGGGAGGATGTTCGGAGCAGCACCGGATAAGCCAGCAACATAAAATATGTTTATCAAAATCAATATGAATAACGTTATCTGATCACACTGAAAATTTCATACTCAATTGAGCTGCATATTTACTTGTATGTATTTAAACTGTGCTAATTTTGTTTCCCCTTTATACTATGTATAAAGCATATGTATATACATACATACATATATGTATGTGCATACGTACCGCCCGCGCTCAGTTGGATACATTCGTATGCAAGCAAGCAAAAAATAGTACATACATATGTATGTAAGCAATATTGTGTGCGCGGGTGCATACGTACATAAATATATATATGTAAATTCTCATGCATTTAAGAAAACTGGTTTTATATTGTTGGTGATGAATTTGCAGTTATCCAATGTAATTAGGACATACTTAAATAGTTCAAGGTGAACTTTCTGTTAGTTAGTCGCGGACCAAATCTTGTTAAATACAGTTGCTTAACTTATGCATACATCATTTGTTTTATTTTAATAGCTGCTAAAAAGGCTTAGTAGCTCAACACCTGCATTTTGTAAAAGCCAGAAAGAAGCATTAACTGTATGAAAAAATGAAAGGGAGAAGTATACATCTATAATTCTAATTCTATAATTTTGACTTATATGTATATTTGGCAAGTCTTTGTGTAAAAAACAAAAAATACACATTTTCATTTCTTTGCCAGATTGGAAAATATAGGCTAAGTTTTACTTAAATGTGATATAAAGCCATTAAAATGTTCTGTAATGTCTTGTTTTTAAGTTTGTTATCATAGTGCTTTGTATTTTGATTGTCCACAATACGTGAGTTGCTTCTATTAAAAAAGTTCTAGTACAAACAATTTCTTTGTTTTGAATTTGTTTGTTTATTGTTTTTAATTTTTAAATTAATTCATACTTTTGACGTGTATGTGAATGGCGGAGTTGCCGTTTTCCTCCTTTTCGGTGGGTTTTTATATTAAAAAGGCATCAAAATGGGAAAAATCCTCCTTGGTATCTCTGCATCTGTTAAACTTTTTATGGGAAGATGTATGAAAATTCAACTTGCTATATTTTCATATGCTTAACAGTATCACAGCAGTATGTTTACAGTATCTCCCCATAACTTTTCATATGAAAAAATGTATTATATGCATCCCACTCGATATCATTGAATTCCTCATTAGAACATGTAGTCCCTCTATTTTAGCGTATCAACAGTTCATATAGCTTCATACCATGTAAATGCACCATAACCAAGTCGATGGGTGTGCACCCTCTTGTGCCCATATCAGCAGGATTTTCGTTGCTGCGCACGTGCTTCCAGGTGGCGTTCCCGCCACATGTAGGGTGGCCTTTCTAGCCAAGCCAGGATTATTTCAGAATCGGACCACATGGTTAATTTTCTATCCGCGAGTTTGAGATGGGACTTGACAACGGCAACTAATTTGGCCAAGAGAAGGGCCCCACATAACTCAAGGCGGGGTAGACTTGTGGTTCTTAGAGGCGCCACTTTACCTTTCGATACCAGCAGGTGGGAGGAAACACGGAGGCCTTCTGTGGTTCGAACATAAATATTTGCGCAATAGGCCTTTTCAGAGGCGTCGCAGAAACCGAGTAACTCGACATTTTGGTCCGGGATATAGTTAACCCAGCGGGGTATTTGGATGCTGGGGATTGTTTGCAAGTTGTTTGCAAACTGTATCCATTTTAGGAGGCGGAGGGGTTTGATCTGTTCATCCCAGTCAGTACCATCAAGCCATAGCTCTTGCAATGAAATTTTGGCTTGAATCATTATTGGCGTAAGCCACCCTGCGGGGTCGAAAAGTTTCGCAACGGATGAGAGGATTTGCCGCTTTGTTCTTGCCGACGATGCTGGGATAGACTCAATGGTATACGAGAATGTGTCGTTTAGGGCATTCCACTGAATCCCGAGTGTTTTTGTAGTACTGGCTTTCTCGAATTCGAGAAAGTTTGTGTCCAGCAAGTCTTCTTTCTTTATATTTTTGAGAATGTCAGGGTGATTGGCCGTGATTTTTTTTAAGGGGAAGCCTGCTGAGTTTAGTACTTTAATTACTTGGGATAGCGATTGAGTGGCAGAGAGTAGGTCATGACCGCCAGACAGAATGTCAGCCAAATAAGTTTCACTATTTAATATAGGGACTGGCAGGGGATGGGCTATTTCCACATCTTGAGCGAGTTGGTGGAGAGTGCGTATAACGACATAGGGTGCACAGTTTACACCGAAGGTGACAGTTTTTAATTTGTAGTCTCTTATTTGTGGATGACCGGAATACTATTTTTTGGAAATCTTGGTCATCTATATGAAGTAATATTTGTCGATACATTTTTTCGACGTCGCCGTTGAAGACAAATTTGTACATTCGCCATTTCAAGATCAATAGCATTAAGTCTGGTTGGAGCGCTGGTCCGGTATATAAAACGTCATTCAGAGAGAGACCAGAACCAGATCGTTTGGATGCATTGAACACCACTCGTACTTTTGCCGTTCTCTTTTCGGGTTTGATAACCGCGTGGTGAGGGAGATAAAACTACATGTATTTGTCTTCTGAGTTTTTGTCATAGGAAGTCGTTTCTTCCATATGACCAAGAGAGAGGTATTCTTCTAAAACGCCATCGTAAAGGGTTTTCAGATCACCCTTCTTGTTTAGTGACCGCTCCATGCTGATGAATTGCTGGAGAACCGCGGACCGGGATGGGCCCAAGGCAATTTTATCTTGGAAGTTGGGCTTAAAGGGGAGTCGGACTATGTATCGACCATCATTTGTGCGAGTGATAGTGGCTGTATAGTAGGCTTCGCACTCCTTGTCTTCTGGAGTGGTGAGATGAGCCTTTGGGACTTCTTCAAGTTCCCAAAACCTTTTAAGTTGATTATCCAAGTATTTATTGGATATTTCTTCCACCTGAGTGGAGAATGATGCCACTTTTTCGGGAATCTGACCACTTAAGATCCAACCGAATATGGTTTTTTGTGTTAGCAAGTTATGGGAAATCTTTTCGATACCTCATAGTATGATTTGGGGGATAAGATCACTGCCTATTACTATCTCTATTTGAGCTGGAGAATGGCAGTTTGGATCTGCTAATTTGAGATGTGACCATTTTTCTCTTTGGGCGTGGCTCATTTGGAACTTTGGGAGAAGTCTGGTTAGTTTTGGCAACACTATAGCTTGAGCTTTTATTTTTGTACTTTGATCGGCGGAGACTAAGATCAGATAGCATATTTTATTAAACGTTTGAACCACCCTTCCCCCATGCCAGAGATTCCGAGGGTTGTTTCTCGGCATGGGAGTCTTAATTTTGTTTGGGCCTAATTTAAAGAGATCATCTCTGTGGTCTACAGACACAATAGCCGTTGGGAGCAGTACCTTGTTATCGTTTTTCGAATAAAAGGACTGTACTTGTGTTGTGCTCGAACACGATGCCGGTTCATTAAGGGCTTCCGACTGACTGGTGGCTTGTGGGTTGGGACCGTTAGACAATGTGGTTGTATGTTGCGAAGTCGTTCTGTGGATTCGATCATCATTTTTATTTGGGGTAGATGCTACACTATAGTGGAGTGTTGAATGATGCCGCTTTTGGCAATGAAGGCAGGCGTTAGTGCTGCTACAATC